GAAATTTTGGATACATTCGAAATGGGATGAATTCCAATTTTTTACTGGCTGTTAAAGGCTTGCGATAATGATTTCTAGTTTGTTTTCTTTGAATACTGCTGTCACTCAGGTTTCACTGCCTTTTTCTTTTATGTGTTCTGAACATTTTATTATTCCATTGACGGCCTCTGTTCATGTTCGTATCTCAATATTTGTATATAGAATATATATGTCATTTGGCATTTTCTTTTATCATCATGTACTCTTTTTTCTATCCTCATAATAAACTTTCCGTCTAACATACCAATAACTTCTTTTTATTTATGTAAATCTCCCGCTTTTCACTACGAATATCCTCTTGACGTGTTTTTATCACATAATAATCTCAATTATCACATAAATATGTTACTACCATTGAAAATATCACTTTCCTCGTACTTACGGATTGTTTTCTATTGACTCTCTTTTCTGTATTTGAAGTTCAACAACCGCTCACATTTTCATTCAAAGCTTTTTGTGAATCTCTTTTCAGTTATTGAGTTTATGACTACAGAAGTTTCAACTCTCTTCATCTATTCCATACAGTCCAATATTTGTTTTTATTGATTTGTGTCAATTGATAATTTCAATCGCTGTATGTAATGGCGAATTCTTTACTTTTCTCTCCATAAAATTATGTTGTTTCCATCAGAGATATTCTATTACCATTATTACCGGTCTCATTTTCTCTCATTTGATGATCGGCACAACCCGGTTTCTCAGTTTTTACAGTTTGTTTCTATTTGAGTTTAACCATCCGTAGCAAGTGTCTCTTGCATTCCGACTTACTCAGATTAGAAATTATGTTTTAAGATATTTCAAATAATACATATTGATAATAATACCTCTTCTTGTTGAAGAACCGGCAACACCTCATGCATAGTAAGGTGTCAATTAAAACCAGCCACATATTCCAAGGTCACAATTCAATATGAAGATCATAGTGACTTTTGTTATCTGCACAAATTTTATAGGCGATATACTGTGGAAACATCAAAACAGCTGTAAAATAACCATTCATCTGCATCTTCATGTTCTTGGCAATAAATCATTAACTGTTGGGTTTTGAAGTTTGAGTTGAAAATATGCATAAGCTTTGAACCCAATCATAATGTGATTCTTTCGAATACCAGTCTAGTGATTTATTGAAGAAGACTATTTCAATCTTATTTTAATTGGGATTTGAAGCGAGAATCGATGAAAGAGACAACCCTCTACCCCCCATCCCAAAATACTGTAACATATGCAGTGAAACGGGATATTCAGCAGCGGAATGTCCCAAACACAAAACGAAGTGTCCTCACTGCGGTGAGGCACATCCTCCTACGAAATGCACGAAAACATCCAACCCAAAATGTCCTAACTGTGAAGGCGACCATCCCGCCTTCTCACTAAAGTGTCCCAAAAGGGTTAAAACCTCAGAGAACCCCAAAGAGGTTGCCCTTATAAAAGTCGAAACTCCCAAAACTATCACTCCCGTCACACAGCAAATCAAAGCTGTAATCAAAATCCAAACAACTCCCCTCCTCAATATCATGCCTGCCATGAGAACTGAAATTCTAGCTCTCACTAATGAACTATGCAAGACAATCCTAGGACACTCCCTCTTCGCCACGGCTAGTGAAACCATACTAAAACCCTCCTTCACATTCAAGAAATCCAAATCCTATGTATCACCGACACACTCACCAAAAACCCTCCCAACTTCTCCGGTTTCAACACCACCCACCGACCAAAAGATCTACATTCGCGAGGCATTGCTATATTAACTAAACGAGGACTAGCCTACAAAAAACACGACCTTCCACCTATCCTATCTGAACTCGACTGCCTGGCGATCGACCTACTCTCCAACTCCGGTAACATAACTATCATAGCCTACTACAATCATCCAACTCAATCCGTTTCTAGAGAATTAATCGAATATACATCTTCTCTCCCAAAAGCATTTCTAATAGGAGATTTCAACTCTCGACATATGCAGTTCGAAGATTCTAGCCAACCTACTACTCGAACACAATATCTACAGAATTCCCTGTCCCGACCCGACGCTTCTGAGCCACCGTGGGGCATCCATCATCGACCACATCTTGTGCTCTGAGTCTGATAGAGGTGGTCGATTATCTTGCCTATATAGGTGACACTATTACATCGGATCACCTCCCCGTCATAGTCAAAACCTTCCCAAAATTTCCTTTTCCCTCAATTCCTGAAACCATTTCTTACAAAAATCATAAATTCACAGACGTCAAACGTTTCCACCTCCTCATCAACCAAAAACTTTCTTCTCTTGACAATCTTCCACTTAACCATCCTCGAAAAATTGAGGCACAAATTGACTCAATTCAAAAAATTATTTCTGAATCAGACGACTTATCCACTCCGACCACAACCAGACGAATCGATCAATCCCCACTTCCACCTCATCTCATAATTCTCATCAAAAGCAAGCGTAAACTCTACAGAACTTTAGTTCGAACTAGAGACCCAGTCCTAAAAACCGAGTGGAACCGTCTTAACGCTCGCATACGTCTCATCATCAACCAATTCACCCAGAAAAGGTGAATGGAGGAGACTAAAAAACTCGACTACCGAGATGGAACGGCCGTCTGGAACAAATTCAAAGTCCTCACTGGACAAAAAAGGAAAGCCGACAGTCACCTAGCGATTGATGGTAACATCATCTCCAACCCTTTCGACAAAGAAGAAGCCTTCCGCGAAAATCTCGAAAACACCTTCCGTCTCCCTTAAGAACCTTACTTCGATATCCCTTTTCTAAACCTCATTCACCAGCAGTTGCCCGCGCAGCTGGTTAGGCACCCAGGTCAAATCCACCTCGACGCCAACTGCCCCCGAAGATCCCCATTCAGTGAGGACGACATCCTCAATACTATCTACAGCGGTAGAAATACCGCTCCTGGCCCAGACTCGGTTAACCGCTGAATACTGAAAAACCTTTCCGATTCTGCAATTCCTTTTCTCAAGCACATCCTCGATACATGTCTTGTACACGCCTACTTCCCAATCGCCTGGACACAGGCTAATACAATCTTAATTCCCAAACCCCATAAGGATCCCACTAATCCCGACTCATACAGACCTATCAGCCTGTTTAGTTGCCTGGGCAAATTCCTGGAACGACTAATGACTAACCGTCTGAACGACTTCCTCATACATCACGGCATTATCCCTCCCCACCAGCATGGTTTCAGGACCGAACACTCCACTCAGAACGCACTAGTCGAACTACATACCTACATATCCCAAAACATCTTTTTTCACTATTGCAATCTCTCTGATATTCAAAAAGCTTTCGCAAGGTCTGACACGCGGGCCTGATCTGGAAGCTTATCCAAATTCGTCTACCTCATCATTTCATCCGACTAGTAGCCTCTTACTCATCTAACCGATAAATCCCCGTTAAAGTCGCTGAAGCCTTATCGTCCCCTTTCACTCCAAAAGCCGGAGTCCCCCAGGGCTCAGTCCTCGCTCCCTCCTTATTCCTCATCTACGCTCATGACGTTCCCACTACCCATAAAAATCCTCCAATATGCCGACGACACTATCCTTCACTCTTCCGCCCCCAACACCCGCCGCTGCAAATTCAAGCTCAAAACATGATCGACCATTTCGAGCAGTGGTGCAACGAATGGCGTATCAATATAAACCCCACTAAAACCCAAACTATCCTATTCCGACATCCTATTACCTCTACCCGTCCTAAATTAAATCCTGATAACTTGAATCTCAGACTTTCAGGGGAAAACCTCATACTCCAGGATTCGGTGTTCTATTTGGGGGTCACCATCACGAGGACCCTCAACTGGGAAACCGACCTGAGAGAGAACTGGACAGAGTCCGGAAGAGAGCCAACCTGCTGAAGGCTCTGAGAGGCAAGCTTGGGAGATGCGACAGTAAAACTCTCCTTCATACGTATAAAACTTCCATAAGACCAGTCCTAGACTACAAAGCGATGATATACTGTACGCTTCCCCCGAGACTATCCCACCGAATCCTCACAACCGAGAGAAGAATCCTTCGTAATATACATAACCTTCCCTATCGATACCCACCCTTAAGTCTATACAACCTCACCAATACTACACCTATCAACCAACGATTCCAGGAACTTCAAGGACGATATGCGACCAGAACGATGAGCAGCAACAACACCGATGTCATCAACTCACTCACAACGCCCTCGACTCCCCGTGGAGGATCCAGAAGGGTACCCAGAAAAAAGCTTCCCTTTCTCCCAGCTAGACTCCTGGGAGCAATGGAAGACCCGCCGGAGCCGTTCCAGGATATCCTAGATGAATTCCCACTGGGAATCAGATAGCGGACAGCTGATAGCAGCGTCCTAGGAAGAGCAGAAATCCGAAGAGTTTCACCCCTACAGTCCCGGCCTAAAAACCCGTACCCAAACAGTACCAACACCACGACCTCTGCAATGGACCCGGACCACCCTACGGATCAACGGAACAAACCATATGAACAAGCGGAACACAAAACAACACAACACAGACTCCAACACACAACAAAATACACACACATACAACACACTTACCCTGAAGAGGCATTAGCCTATATCAGGGCCCCACACAAACATACCTAACAAATGAATTGTAGTTAGCTAAAAATTTTGAATAAACGATTTTCATTCATTCCTTCAGAATTCAAGTTCGAAAAGCATTGACAAATTTCTCAATCAGTTCAAACTCATTATCTAGCCTAGGTGGCTTCTCCCTAAGATAATAAGGAGAATAAGGAGAGAAAATCATTCTTTGGAGCCAAAAAAAAAATGTGAAGAGTTGAATATTTATATATGTTTGAGTTTTCAAACTAATTGCCTTGACCAGATGTAAACTTAAAGAATTAGTGATGATGCTTACGAGTTATAGCTGTTGAACCTTGGAGCCAAAATTCTGAGAAAACGAAAAGGTAGTTTAATTTGAATATTTTATATATTATTATTTTTTGGTGTCAATAAAACGCTAACTAATAGAATATTGTCATTGCACTTGGTTTCTTTTTCATTTTTCACATTTTTCAGTGCTTGTCGGTGCTATTATGAGTAACTACTGAAGTTATATAAATATAAAATTAAGGGTTGTAAAGAAGATACAGGTAATTTGGACGACTTTTCATATCCAGAGAGGCTCTTGATAAAATGGCTTTTCTATTCTGGACCTAGATTCTTTTAGCAGTACTCACTCTCAGAACATATTTATGATCATTATTATCACCTAATATACTGATGCTTTTTTTAAAGAAATATTTTACATTGATTCTTTTTTTTTTTCAGAATTGAAACGATAGTATTTTTAGTTATGATACCGTTTGTGAAAACTGTGACCAATGAAGACTTTGTTCTACCACCTTCCTTCAACCTTGGAGACAGTTTAGAAGGTCAGTATCTACTTTTTTTGATGATGAAAAAATCGAATAATGCAGTGAAACTTTATGTACAAATAGATAAAATTCTTGTACTATATGTTTTTCTTCAAATGGATTCCAATAGATATGGACCGCAGTGGTGATTTGTTTTATAGTGATAATCTAATACTCTCACAGTAAAAGGATCAATAATAAAATGGATGTAGAATGCGCAAAAATGCATTCTATTAGATAATGGCTTTCAATAGATAAGAACTACAGTGGTGATTTATTTCATAGTAATACTCTAAAACTCTCACGGTGAAAGGATTTTTAACAGAGCGCGAATAATATTTTCTAGAATGCGCAATCTGCGCATTTCCGCAAATATTACATTGAAGAAGAGGTTGGAATCATCAATCACAAGGAATGCATTACTCAAAAACCTAGAAATCGCAGTCATCGAAACATAACCCCAAACAGTAGGTTCAAACACAGAGCATCTCACATCATCAAAATCAGTCTTTTCATTTGAGAAAATCACAAGTTTCAACGAAAAAAGGTGAAATCAATAAAACAAAAAGTTCATGACAATGAAATCACATTCACGAAAACATGATGTATAAGCTGTATTTATGTTAAGTTTCATCTGAATCTGTGAAATTTTAAACTTGAGAAAGCTATTGTATAGTAAAATACTTGTTGAAGTTTTTGTAAATCCCTTTATAGTGAAAATCATACAATAAAGTGTATTAGTTTCAATGCATTTTGCGTCCACCAGAAATAATGTCTTCAGGATGAATGTTATGTCTTCACCGACATATGTTAGGATGAAAATGAGCAGCTATTATGAACATTTTGTGAAAAAGTTATGAACAGAAATGAAAAATAATAATTTTTGAAAAGCAATCCAACTTCCAAATTCAGAATAAAATGTTATCTAATAAGTGGGCGAAACTCATAAAAGTAATTTTGATAGTTTAGTTATTTGGATTGATAAAGGACGTCGTCTTAAATATTCAGTTGAGATTGTTATAGAAAAATAATTATCAAAAATGAGAAGAGAAATGAAGGTGAATGAACAAATACAAGAAAATTGAAAATTGGAACACTATTTGTGAGAAAAACAAATTAGTGTGGTCTCAAATGAAAATGATTGCTTCAAACAATAATTGAAAAAAAAAAATAGAAAAGGAAAATGAAATACTTATCAGTTTTCATTCGAGGACGATTGTGAATATTGAAAATCGAAACGTGTCGTGAAGTAGCTTGGTTTGTATTATCTTCTTTTTTTCTTAATTTGTTTTACTTATTTTATTTATTTAATTTTTCTCTCATAGGACACTTTTTGAACAATGAAAGTTGAAACCTATAATATTCAAAAATAATTTCATTTTATCATGAAGAGGTATATGAACAATTCCATAACTAATACAGTCTGATAGTATACTGTTGGTGACGATGAGTCATTTTGGTAGGCTAAGATTTGTGGTCTTTCTGTTGCTGTAAAAATTTCGAAGCAGTTGCTATTCTTGCCTCTATTAGGGGCAAGGATAGCAACTGTTACTGATTCATTACTTTTTGAAAAGGTTCTGAGGGAAAACTTTAATTTTGAGCCAGTCCTTATTATGTAGAAGATCAGAGTGTTTTTTTTAAATATGAGTTAGTTACTGTAAATGTGTTCAATACAAATATAATATTTATAGTTTTCCATTATTTATAGCGTATGCAACTCTCATGTGATGGTTATTAATACACTCGCATATACCATACAAAACTCGCCTTCGGCTCGTTTCGTATCCCGGTTAATGCTCGTGTCTTAATAACCATCATTACATGATCCTTGCATAATATACTATTATGAGTTCCTGGAGTGTGACCCATGAAAACTGACAAACTTTCAAATTCATTGTCAATCATGCTGAATAATTGCGACATAGTTGCAAAATACTTTCTCAGATGAGTACATGTTATGGACTTCTTTGATTGACGACTTGTTTATCTTGTGGAAGTACATGTTTACTGAGGATACACTACAAAAACACACTTTTGTCTATTTTCCATGATATTTCTTTTTCGTTGACTAGTTTCGGCTATTACACCATTTTCAAAACTAACTAATTACATTTAAATCTGAGTAATTCATACCTAAATTGCCTATCCTATCATAAATGATTTGGTACCTACATTTTGTATACCTGAAATATCTATGAACATAACAAAACAAAGCTTTTGATATAATGTAGGTTTTGGGAACTGGATTATAGGTTCAGGAGAGGACTATTATTTAGATCAAGGTGTTCATTGAGGACAATGAATTAGGATTTTTCTTTGACCTGTTCATTTCCATAGATTCCAACAGATTCATAATTTTCCCTTTTTCGCATGTGTGAAGGATCTTTAAATTATCTTTATCTATTTTATGTTTCGAATTTTGAAGATGAAGATAAAAAAATCATTAATGTACGAACATCTTCAAAATTCGAAACATAAAATAGATAAAGATGATTCAAAGATCCTTCATACATGCGAAAAAGGGAAATTGATGAGTCTGTTGGAATCTATGGAAATAAACAGGTCAAAGAAAAATCCCAATTCTATTGTTCTCAACGAACAACTTGATCTAAATAATAGTCCTCTCCTGAATCTACAATCCAGTTCAAAAGCATTTTTTGTTATGTTCATGGATATTTCAAGTATACAAAATGTAGGTACCAAATCATTTATGATAGGATAGGCAACTTAGGTATAAATTACTCAGATTTAAATGTAATCAGTTAGTTTTGAAGATGGTGTAATAGCCGAAACTAGTCTACAATAAAGAAATATCGTGGAAAATAGACAAAAGTGTGTTATTGTAGTGTATCCTCAGTGGATATGTTATGGATTTGGAGTTTTTTGCTTCACAAGCCACTGTAACCAGAGATAGGAGTAAAACACCCTGGTTTACCAAAAAAAAAGGATTCTTTTGACCCAAAAAATTAGTCATAATTTTAATAACTTCCATATGTGCCGTTGTACGTCTGTACTCAATATGACTGGTACTCCATGTCCTACTCTTTCCATATAATTCAGTAATAGTTTTTCTGTCTCATTAACAACTTTTTCGAATTATTCGTATGATTCATTACTTTTTTCTGCAAAGTAGTTGGTATGTGTGCATTCTTTGCAGTTTTTCTGTTTTTTTTTCTGTTCAATAGTATGATCCTGCAGTATACTGTTTCCAGCTGCAGCATTTCGATTATCTATTTTCAAATTTCGTAATGACTCATCTGCAGTTGAAATGAGGTAATCTTTCAAGAGTTTCAGATCATGTGCTAATGGTAAAATTGTCAATAAATTGATGGATATAGCCGTTACTATGTGGTAGGAGATCATGATGAAAAGAGAAATGAAAATTGTTACTTTATTGAAGTTTTTCAAAATATCATTCCAAGCCCAATTTGATATATCAACCCACCAGTGTGACTGCAGTAGATTCATCATAGTTTTCATATTGGAAAAGTACAAATATTTTAGTATATGTAGGGAATACAAAAATATCTTCATTGCTATCATATCTGGATACCAATTGTGTAGTCTAAACTAATTCATCATAAACTTAGGTCTCAGTACTCCGAAAACATTTATCACGGATCATTCAATTTTTCATTTCCAAAAGAACTCTAGATAATTCACTTATTTTTCTACTAGTTACATTGACGAAATGTTTTTCTTCATTCATGTTCTTTTTTATTTTGAGATATCTGGCTCTGAAAGCACAAATCAGGAAGTCACTCTTTGCTTCTAGAGATATTTTATCTGGTCTCATACTCAAGACAATTTTAGTTTTCAGACCCGGGTAGATTTTATGGCAATTTTTATGAGTATATTCCGTGTCTCTGCTCGTGAGTTTCTTGATAATTCTCTTTTCAGACAAAATTTTCTATGTCGATTCAAAAATTTTGATTTATAGAAACCAATACAATTTGAACATGGTAGGAATGGCTGATCTTGGCGAAGTGCTTGTTTAACAGGTCTCACACATTCTTGGGATTTTTTTATCAAGTTTTTTTTGAGAACTGCTGACAATTCTCTTCTTCCTTTAGTTTTTACTTTTTGTGTGAATATTTCTGAAACTTCTGGTTCCCAGGAATGGTTTCTTCTCAAGTGTCTGACATATTCGCTCATATTTTTTAGGCTTCCCATTTGAGGTGGATGAAGATAATGATATATTTCTGTCATAAATCAATGTAGGGAATTCATGGTCGTTATCAGTTTGTACCTGTAGGTCCTTCATTTTTCAAAAATGGCTATTTATGTTATGAATGCATTAATTGTGGCAATCCAAAAATTTTATTTCCTCCAATGGATTCATGGCAGAGTCGCTATTCTCAACAATGTTGGCCGATAAAAACAGAGCATGGCCAATTTTTTATAGATGGTTTAAAAAACCGTTTGGACGCCTCGACTTCAAGCGGGGGAAATCTTTCAAACATATTTTTAACCTTCCATCCCTAGCGGTGAAAAATATTCAACCAACGATGTTCTCTACGCTATCTATTTTTATTATATTACGAACTTTCACTCAACTTGCAATGTTTGTTCGTATTATGTGTTAGTTAGGGTGAAATTTTCCAATTGAATTTCAAAGAAATTTTTTTAACCGACTGAGCTGCAATTTGCATACTGGTTTATTTTGGATGACAATGCTATGTGATGGCGGATGACCCAAAATGTCATCATACAAATGATATTGGTATCAAATGTAGGGGTTTGTTGGAAAGAATACAAGAAATTAAATGAGGTCTTTCTAAATTAAATATGGCGGGGCGCCCAAGATGACTGAATAGTTCGAAATGAAATTGGTATATTTTCAGGAAAGATTGATTTTTGGGAAAGAATGGTTAAAATAAATTGCTAGTTTCGTGTTATTTTATCTTTATAACATATTTCTGTTTGAAAATATCTCAGATCTACTTAATATCTCATAACGTATAATTTTGAAGGTATAAGAAGTAGTTCATTCTATCTTTCAGGCAGTTAAGTGCTGG